TGCCTCGTCTGAGCCAGCAGGTCGGGGTTGTTCAGGGCTGCCCGCCGCTGGCCTGTGCACCATCCATTGCTGATATCCCTGATGGTGATCGGGACCCCTAGGGTGGAGGCGCTGGGCTGGTGGACCGGTGAGGGGGGTGCAGCTGAGCTTGGGGTATGGACAGGCAGGCGGGTGAGCCGTGTGCATGGCCTGGGCTCAGCCCAGGTGGGTACAGGGACCCTGTCCATTAGCGCCAGGGCAGAGGAAGAGGGACTGGAGCTTTGAAAGTATCCACATTAGGAAGCCAAGGCTGGAGAGCAAAGCAGACCACTGTGCTGGCCAGGCCACCTTGGAGCCTGCCACGACACTGGTCCTTTGCATATGGGGAGACTGACCATTGACCAGCCAGTGAGACGTTTCATGCCCCCCCGACCGTGGTATAGTTTACAAGCAATTGAAGGTACTTTGAGAGGTAATTGTAATCACCAGTAATTAGTACTTTCTCTGTGGGAGACCAGGTCCACTGTCATGGTGAACCTGGCAGGGCTCCTGCCTGAACACCAGCCTGGGGCAGAGGAGGGCCTGCCCAGAAACACCCTCTTACCTCTCACCACAAGGCACTGTAGTGTAGAAGAACAAATCTGACTCCATTAGATCTGTTTCTTTTCCTTTAACCCTGTGCCCTGTTTTCTGGGCTCAGTCTTGCCAGCTCTGCACTGTGTGTAAAACAATGTTGCCTTTAGCCTGAAATGTGCCAGAGAGCCTATTCTCAGTGCTCTGACACCTCTGCACTCCTATAGAGATAACAAGTTGCAGAACAGAACCTAACCTTTGTTTTGTTGGAGGTTTTACAGCGGCACCATGACCTGACCCACCTGGGCCTCATTTTGATAAACTCTTCCAGAGTTGTTGTTTTTTTATTTTGTCCTTAGCTACACACTAGAGTATTCATGATGAAACATTTTGTAAAGGGGGAGACAGCATGTTTCTATCTTATCTACAATTTTAAATAAATTTTGAATGAATGACATTCTCAAGTTAGATATCTTCCCCCCCCAAAAAACATCAATTTTCTGTCCATAATGTTACAAATGATGGACATTTTTCTGTGATGAGGTTTTAACCAGTATACAGAGTGGCCTTTTGTGTTTAAATCTTTTTTTAACTAATAATATTTACTATGTATTTTAATTTACTTCAGTATTTTAAACATAATTGCATCACAAATGTTTTTAATTCTGTTGTTTTTTGTAGTCTTTATGTGCCATTGCCATTTATTTCTATATTACATAGAGGTTTTCTCAAATTACTCACCAGGGGACTAAGGCAGTTGACAGTCAGAATGGTTGGAATTGTGTTCTGAGAAAAACTTTCTTTCGCATAAGCATGTATGTGGTCAGGGCATTTTGTGTGTATGCAGCCTGAAGTGGGTATCGGGTATTATGAGTGTATATTTAATTTTTAATTTTTTTATTTTGATTTTTGTCATTTAGAATACTGTCTTGGTATAATGTAATCTGTATTTGTGTACCTTTTTTACCTTTAAAATTTTTGAATGAAATATTTAATACTCATAGGAAAAAAAATTCAAAATCTTTTCACCAACCCCTCAGGGAAAACTGCCACTTCAGGAAGGTGTCCTACATTACAGCACAGCCCCTGCACACCTGCTTCCGGCCCCCAGCACAGGAGCTGGAGAGGTGTATATGCAGAGAGCAAACAGTGCACTTTGGGGTCCAGGCAGCCAGGGCCTGACTATTTATTCTGCCTCTAAAGTGGGGGTAAGCATGCCGAGTTTTTGATCACTGTAGGGATTACATGGGACAGGGGATGCGGGGAAAGTGGCATCACAGCCAGAATGTAGCGAGAGCTCAGTATCACCCATCACTCATCACCCATCACTGTCATATTACTAGTCGACATTGTTCATTACTCTTCCTCCTTATAAACAATGGAATAAATCATGAGAATGCTAGTTTCTCTATGAAGTCGGGTTTCCTAAAATCGATTTGAGAGACTGTGCAATTAAATCCAGTGAATGAAATGCTTCAGCTTCAGAGATACGTCGTCTGCTCTGACATTTTTCCATGTTGATGTGGAAAATTTTGCTCCACCCTTAACTCCGCATTTGACCCTTGCCCTCCTAGTGCTCAGAAAATGAGCATCATGGCCCTGTTTGGACAGTAGGGTCTTGCACGGCCAGGAAGGCTTTAATCCTCTGGTCCTGAAACTGTCCGAAGTGAAGAATTCCCTTCTCTTATCAACGCACAAATATTTTCCTCTGGCTCCTTAGCAAGCTTTGTTCCAGCATTGGCCCATCAGGGCTTCAGAGCACTCAACAAAACATGCTGGGAAACCAACCAAACAGCAAACTAGAGAAAGAAGCAAACAGTCAAGCAATAAATAAATTTTAAAAAATGAATAATTAAAATTACAAATGGAAACCGTGAGAGTGTGTGTATGTGTGTGTGTATGTGTGTGTGTGTGTGTGGGTGTGCTGTGTGGGTGTGTCTGTGTGGGTGAAGGGAATGCATTGTGCC